TTAGAATCTACCAGTGAAACTAAATATTAAGGAATTATTGACTTAAAACTTTCAAGTTACTTGTAAGTTAGTTTTGTCTTATTTCAAATCTACTAAGATATTTGCTCTAGACACTAAACAAAAACATGAATATGTTTGTTATTTGGAGTGATGCTGTTAAGCATTGTCTAGGGAATGTTGCATCACACCAGAGGTCTATATGAAGAAGGGAATCAAAGTGTGGGAAATGATTTGACTAACCATGTTAACGTGAGAAAGGGAGCAACTACTAATTTACTGCTCTGCTAATAAAAATCACTCTCAGGAGAATCACAAGAGGCTGTGCTGCTTCCAGCCTCTTCCAGTCTAACCTGAATCAGGATGCTGTTGTTTTTAATATACAGTCAGATATCAGGTCGTGCCATTATTTCTAAAGTGAGTTTTGTTGTGTTTTCGTCCGTATTTATCGTCTGGTGGAGAAAAGAAAATCTCCACATACCTCATAAACGTTTTGTTTGGGGTGCGATTACAATAACACACTGCAAAAACATCAAATCTTACCAAGTATTTTTATTCTAGTTTTTAGTGCAAATATCTCAGCACACTTGAAATGAGACAAAACTAACATAAGTATTTTTACAGAAACACATCTGAGCTTGTTTTAAGTCAATAATTCTTTAATATTGATGAAATAGTTCTAGCTAAACTTGCAGATTTCACTTATAACAAGGGAAAATGTCTTGTTATAAGTGAAACAATCTTCTAGTGGAACTAGCACTTTTTAAAAATGAATATTAAGGAATTACTTACTTGAAACAAGCTCCTATTTATTTCTGAAAAGTTACTAGTAAGCTATTTTTTTCTTATTTAAATTGTGCTAAGATTTTTGCACTAGAGCATGTGTCAAACTCGAGGCGCGCGGGCCAAATCTGGCCCACCGTAGCCATTTTTGTGGCCCACTAGACCCTATTGTAGGTCTCATAACATTATTTTATAAGTCAAATTAAACCAGTTTTTAACTGTGTATTGCCAAATGGCATCGATGTGAAAATAATTTAATGTTTAATTTGAAGAAGTTCCCATCAAATGGAGAGAGCTATTTATTTGTATTGTTTTTTTTTACATGACAGGTTGTGACAGTCGATATTACTTGAAAAGGCTCTGATTGGTTGTTTTTGGTTGGGAGTGGTGCATTTCTTCAGATGGTAACAGAACAAACGGCCCTTTAAATTCACAGTATGTAACTTTTATAAAAAATATATTTTTACATACATGTTGAAACTGTCAATGAGACAGCCAATCTGTGAAAGCGTTGAGCTCCTCTGTCTTCTCACAGTGCTAACAACCAATCAGAGCCAGGAGATGGGTCTTAGCGCTGTCCATCACCCTCTGTACGCTGCTGCTCATCCTCCCATTTCTCTCTGCCTGCTGTGAATGCTAAGGCTAACTAGCATGGATGATGACAGATAAATGGCTTTCCTGTTATGGCAAGTGTTTTCTCTGCCTTTAGCAGTGATTACATGAGCATGATTGACAGCGCTAAGTCCCTCGTCCTGGCTCTGATTGGTTGTTTTGATGCTGAGCGTTGCATTTCTTCAGATGACGATATTAGCTCAAGGAGAAGGCGGAGGAGCTTCATGTTTTCACAGATTATCTGTCTCATAACAAAGTGTGACAACATGGTTTTAATACGTTCAGACATATTTTTTAATTAAAGTTACATACCGCACCTTTAAGGAGATCCATGATCTTGATGAGTTTGACACCTCTGCATCAGAAAGTAGACTTGATGAGCTTTGGTGTTTTTCCAGTGATGCTCTCCAGTGTGAAAGGTTTGCTGTGGAGGGAGGGAGGGACGGACGGGGGGCGGATTAGAGACGTTGTGGAGGAAGAGGAGTGTGGGAGGGTGCGTCTGCATTCACCAGCCCTACTCCAGGCCTGTGGTCTGTGAAAGAAGCTCCCCAGAAAACGGCAGCTGCTCGGCACCCTGACAAGACCCTCCAGATTGTTCCCCTCATAAAGAAGCTCAGCTGCCGGAACACTATTGACTCAAAGAGAAAACGAGAGAACAGCGACTCCCCTCCCTCCTACAACCTCCACATCAACACACTGCCCTGCTCTTTCTTTTCTCCCCTCGCCGATGCCCAAATTGCACCCAAAATCTATGCATACCACATGAGTCCAGGGATGGCCGCCATCTGTGGGGTAGCGATCGCCTGTAAATGGCGTCTGTGTCTTTCTTTGCTCGGTCTCCAGCGCAGGGACTGATTGTAAATTGGGCGGCCTTACCCATAGCTGCCTAAATCACTTAGTCATGGAGAGCTGAGGAGGAGTTCACCGAGGTTCTAAAGGCCTGCGTTCCCCTTTGTGGGCCATCTTGGATCAGGGCGGACAAATTGGTGAGCCCTGGAAAACACAGCGGCTGGAATTTCATCCTTTTCAACCGTTTTTTTGTGTTTTTGCCTTTTAAATAAATCTCAGTTGACAAATCGAAGTGCTGTTGAATGGAGGTGCTTTCCATACATTTGCTTGGTTTGTTTTACGTTATGTTTTACAGACGCAGATGGTGTGGATTTGTGCTTACTGAATCTTTTCCTCATGTTACGTGGAAATTTCAACACAATTTCACATTTTCACCTCACTATAGAAGATAAACTGGGAATTTGATATATTTTGGACACTTTCAAAATCCATACAACAGTCTGACACAAACACAGTGCTTTGCAAAAGGTTTTAAAGGGTACTTATGCAAAATTAACTTTTTACACATTTTTATACTTCCATTTGGGTCATAACTGCTTCTAAAAACAGCCTAACCACTTAAAAAAAGCACTTAACCCTTATTTTGGCAATATGTAAATTTTTTTTTTTTTGGTATTTGCTGTTGATTTTTAAGTCGCATTTGACGGCCACTGCCCCGTTACCTAGCAACCCAAGCTAAGTTCCAGAACGTTTGGACGGCTGGTTTTACTGCTGTATGCGCTGTACAATGGCTGCTGGAAAAGACACATGCTTTGTTGTTAACTTACCATCCAGAACCACTTGCTACAACTTTCGTGGTTGTACAGGAGGAGGCTCCACTTCTGCTTTTCAAAGACGTAAGGTTGTATAACTGCGCAACTGTTTGCAGGTATTTTCATGTATGAGTGTAAATTTTGAGTTGGAGGGCATGGCCAGAAGCAGATTATTTGAATTTAAAATGACAGAATAAAATCTCATTATCTAAAAATGATTTTGTGCAAAAAAATCTAATTAAAATGTTTTGTATAGGCCATAGGCATAGTAATTTTTTGTTTTCAGACTCCCTGTAATCTTTCAAATCGATAATCAATAAATCTCCAGGAGTCTGTCGCACATTTCCTATTCAGTCGTGGTACCTCAAAGTACAAAAACTTTATGCAGTATGAGCTTCAAAAACAGAGAATGAGGACAAAGTATGTAGTACTAGACCTAAAAGAAAACAAAAATATTCACATTCCTGAACTTTTTCACGTTTTATCACATTGCAAAAATTAGAATCTTAAATGTGGGAAGCTAGTAGCAACAACCAAAAATACTTACAGCTGTAATTGGAGTTATAGGTGATTATAGACAGTATTGACTTATATATAAAGCATAAGATTTAAATAAAATACACTAAGGCTGAAACAATGAATCTGATTAATTGTGATGATAATTTCATAACTGATTAATCGTTATCTGGAGAATGCAAAATCAGAACACCATTTACTGAAAGAGCAGCACATTCAGAGGAGTAATTAAGCCAAAACTGGACAAAAATGGGATACATTTTTAATTTAAGATAAAAAAAAATATCTTTGTATGTAAACATGTTCTACCCAGAACTCCTTAAGCAGGAGTTTTATCTTCTCCTGGTTCAAATTCTGCTAAATATATCTCCTGCTAGACACCTTTTTCTATCCAATTATTAATCAATAAATCCAACAGATCAGCTCTACATTGTATAGATCTTAAGCAGAAAGAGATGAGCTTTTGTTGGTGTTAAAAGTATTTTTTTAGCTGCAGATGCATCTTTTACTACAAATAATTAAATGTAAACTAAATAAATGCTATATTATTGCATTTTAGGCAGTAAAATGTTTAATTAAAAAATGTAATTATATGGTCATTTGCGTATTTTACTGTATTTCTTATATCGTACCAAATAAGCTTATGTGGTTAAATGCAAAATCTGCAGAATATGCCAACTTTTAAAACCAGATTAATCAATTACTAAAATAATCATCAGTTGCAATCCTAAAATTCACTGAGGTTTGTGGTTGTAGTGTAACAAAATGTGGTGCTTTGTGTATCTAGAAGTCCTTCCTTTGAGTTATGAAAGATTACATGATAGTCTGACGTCTTTCTAGCAAACTAACTGAAGCTGACAGATCATTTAAAGCACAGTGCAGCTTTTCTGTGTAAATATGTTGGCATATTGTCATGGAACAGTCCAATCTCAGAGGCTGAGGTTGAAACTGTGTCCTGCCATCGGAAAGCAGCCATTACCCAACTGTCTAACCACATTCATCGGCTAAACATGTTAAGGCATAAAAGGAATTTGACTCAAGTTTCTTGAAGCTCTCAGAGCATTTCTATGCAGAATAAGCAGCAGTAAAAACACACACCGCAATAAGTAAACATTGGGTCTTTAATGTATGCAGTTATGTCAAATTAATGTATATAAACAATGAGATTAACATTTTAATCTGTTATATTCTACTGGTTAAATAATTTAAATGCAATATGATAGTTTAGAAGTAAACTTTTCAGATACATTTTGGGAAAATAATTTATTACGTGTAAATGTACAAGTCTGTTTATCCTTTCAATTGACAATGAATGAAAGCTCCAGAACAGCTACAGCTTTTAACTGCAATTAAGTCTTTTATGAAAACTTAAAACACTTCTGAATACAGTTTAGAAAGGATTAAAAACTTTACACATTTGATTGTACTTTATTTTCTTAAAATAAAAACCGTGAAAAATGTTTAACATAATGTAATTTTGATTGGTTGAAAGTAACTCTATGGGCTGGCAGAAGCCAATCACTGATCTTACTGTACACGGTGACTGACCAATCAGAAACCAAGGGACTCACAGCTAAGGCCCGCCTACTTACGCCAGCCAGTAGTCGAGCTGAAAAACTGTCAAGTGAGTGAACAGGATGGGGACGGCTTGATAGCAGCAAAAATACGTAAAAAATGTAACGAGAAGTTGTAAAAACAACTTTAAAAGTTATCCATGCCATGTTTGGAGTTCACCACAGCACATGTTAGTAACCTACAGGTAAGTTTGCTCCAAAATAAGTCATGTCGGATTGTTGTTTTTTTTACCCTCCTTAAAAGCAGGAGTTGAGAAATTTTAAAGGAAGCTAACGTTTTTCGCTAACAGACTGATGTTTATCTCAATAGTCCTCCAACCTTCTCCTCCTTTTCTAGACAAGCAGCAGCAGCCTTGGGCAGTGCGTGTTTTCCCCCTGCGATAACAGTAAGCAGCCAGTTTCGGAAGATGTCAGCGCCCAGTAACTCCCTTCAGCAGCCGAGGGTGAGGCGCAGCAATGCGGGCTCCCCGGGCTCGTTCACCCAGAGCGGCAGCAGCTGCAGCCGCTTGCACCCCATCCGCGCCACTGTGCCTTACCAGCTCCTGCGTGGGGGTCCGAGCAGCCCCACACGGCCGCAAACCCTGCACGGAGGAACAACAACCAGCCGGGTCTCGAGTAGCAGTCCCCCTTCCAGTCCTCCGCTCTCTGCAGGAAGTACAAAGCAAAGAGTGTCACCCGAAAATAAGGAGGCTTCCTGTCCCCCAGACTCCCCTGTGTCAAAAGGTAAAACGAAAAGAGCGTTTTATATACTTAACTGCACACATAAATGATATATCGCCACGTGTGTGGTCGCCTGAGAGCTTGTCATTGTGCTTTCTGTTGTTACTGTTATGTAATTAAGAGTGGAAAGTGAGAATGTGTGTTAAAATTTCAGGGCTGGATTTAGGAGCATGTGGGCCCCTGGGCTAGAGCCAGTCGTGGAGGCCTACAGGCACACACACTTTCTTTCAGGAATGCAGATTACACTATTGTTGATTATTAGTTTCACATCGGTGTTTGGGACTGGTTGCCATGCAGTGCAGTGGAAGATTTGCTCAGCTGAAGATTGGATGAAAAATATTCCCTTGATGTACAGTTCACTTTTTAAAAAATGAATTTGGTTGAGGTAGCACATCGCCACTGTATAAAGAGTCAAGACTGGGGAAAAAACAAAAAAAGTTTGGGGAGAGTGGAGAAGCTCACAGTGTCTAAACATAATGTAAACAATAATATCACAATGAACCGCCATCTTGGTAGTCAAGCTCAGCGCAAGTGTAGCTGAACCATGGCATCAAGACCAACAAAAAGAAAATATATTGACAAGTGTGCGAGAAATATATATCGACAAAATCGCTGCTGTCTGAGTGGACCTGTATGAGACAGAGAAACGTCATGGAAACATGATGTGAACAAGCTGCCTCCGGTTTACTATGACATAGTTAACTACCTAGTGAGGAGCGCCTACACCATGGATGCATACAATCAATGTTTAAATGGATTTGTAAAGGACGTGCGAACTCTTCAAGTAAATAACAAGGTTTTGGTTACTGGCAGAGTAAGTCCATGTATCATACACGTATGCTATATGGCCGTCTTAACTAGCATCTAAAAGCTACATTAGCTAAGACAATTTTGCTAGTTTTGTAGTACAATAAATATCACTGATTTTTATCTTGGTATTATACAAAGATGGGTAGAGTGTTCAAAAATTGGAATTGAGTAATCGGTGAGCTAGCTCTGAGCTTATAGCTAGTTTATTGTTGTCATAGCAACTCCATAGCAACTGTCATGGAGGTTACGGATACCTACCAACATGGCTGTTGCTACATACTAAATGTGCTCCTGTGAGAACTGTGTATAATGTCCGCTTACACCTTATTTTAGTGTCATAGTTTGAACGCCATCCAGCAGAGGGCGCCGCTGGTCATCCTTTGGCAAAGCTGGTGATACAGAAACAAAGATGGCGGCAATACCAGAACTGGAAAGAGAAATATTCCAAACGGACTCCAGTGTGGGATGGAAAATTAACTTTTTGCATTGTTATTTTGAAATATAAACACTCGACAAATTCCTTAAGTTTCACCTGAATAGCTCTCATTCAGCCAAGTCAGCATGTTATTAAAAATTTAACTCTTTACGTTTTGGAAAGACGGTCGGCCATCTTCATACAAGAGAAAGCAGAAATTTTTAAGAATATGACCGCTTATTAATTAATATTTAGTAAATCAATAAAATCAATCAACTTTAGATTAACTCATTAATTGATAACTTGCACCCCGAATCAAATATAACAAACTACAACTCCCACATCTAGCCTAGTAGCTAACGCATTCACCAATGTCTTAGAGGTTTTTCAGACAAAAACGTATTTGTCCGCTCTAAGAAACTTTCTAATAATAATAATAATTAATAACAATAACAGTAGTATTTGGATCCCTTTTGTGATTATCTGTATGCTGAAAATACGACTCACAATGTCACAGTAAAGTTGCTGATTCTAAATTTAAAGCTTGCTGTTACTGTATTTGGAAACGTATATAGTAAAAGTCGGTGTTTACAAAGTGTTAATTCATTAAAAATGTAAATTTTGTGCACAAGACTTTGCTAACAATCATCCCTGGATGTAACATTTGGAAACATCATCTAAAAGCCTGGAAAAAGCCTTTTTTCCACGCACAACTAGGCATTCATGATGTGGTTAGGAGAAGTTCTGTAAATCCATTTCTGAAAGGAAGAAGAGAAAGGACCTCGTGGCAGAGAGACATGCTGCCACTTGTAATCTGTCCAGTTCATTCCCTGCAGAAACACGGCTGAGGGAATGTTACCTAATGACTGGTATCACTGGAAAGGGCAGAAACAGAACTCCCCAGTTTGTCCTGCAGGATATTAGAAAATCATGTGTTTGCAATTCTATTGTGTATCGTTAATAGGATATAAACAGGGCTCCCACACGGTCTGGAATATGAGTGAGGGATTATTACCATAATTATAGTCTGGAAAAATGTGGAAAATTAGAATATACAAAGATATTTTTATTTCCAGGCAACTTTATTCCTTTCATTTATCTATTTGATTATCCATTCTTCATCTGCCTGTCTAACTTTTTTCCTTCTCATAGTTGTTTTTGCAGATTTTGTATGAATGCTTAAAAAATGGAAAATCAACATTTTTCTTTTTTCCTTACCTGTGAGAATATAATTAGCAATTCTTTCTGATGTTAGTGTTACAAATAGGCTTGCCACAATAAGCAATAAATCAATTAATTGCATGATAATTTAAAAGAAGTTTATTGGTCTCAATTAGTGCTTTTGTTGAAGAACAATTTTACTAACAGAAACTTCATAATTAATTTTATTTGTTGTCTTGTTTATTTATTTTTGGATATTTAAAATGTTTTCCAGTTTCTGTGTTAAATGTTTATTAGAATTTAAAGTTTATTGAGTTTTGAGAATTTCTGTTCAGTTATGATTTTATTGCCAATATATTACTTGAAAATGGTCTTAAAACAACAATATTATTGTTTGTCGCAGTGACTTCTGGCACAATTTATTGTTTCATTATAAATTATACATTTTATAATTTTTGCAGTTTATTACGTTAGGCTGTAAAAACTAAGTCACTCGACGTGCGTCGCTTCAGTGGCGCAGCGCTGGGCCTTGATGTCTGTTCATGCAGACTTTGAATGTAAACCAGATGCTCCTGACGCTCAAATCGCGTTTGGTGTTAATGCAGCTTTAGAACTAGCTCTTGCCTAGTTCCTATCTAATTTATAAAGAATATATGTACATTGCATCTATTACTCGATTACAGTTTTGAGTACTCTACTTTAATTTTGTTGGTCTCTAAGCCATGGTTCATCTACGCTTTGCCTACCAAGATGGCGGTTCAGTGGCACAGATCACTTCAGGTTCAAACTTGTGGGAGCTGTTATGAGTTGCATTACAGGCAGGAAAAGTGGATTTGGTTCACATCTGCCTGCTGTGTGAACCTCCATATAGGACAGGCTACGTCAGATACCATCTCTGATTCCTGGATAATTAGCTGTTTGCATGTTATGACAGCCATAAAACTGTTATACAGTTACAGTCTTAAGTCAGAGGCATCTGACCACAGCCTCACCAAACACAGTGACTGTTTGAGAATACTTGGATATGAGTTATGACAACATTTATTTTCCCTTTGGGATACATAAAGTGTTTCTGAATCGAATCATATTAGCTTATAGTCTTACCTTTAGCTGAAACGGTTCTCCACTTTTCTCAGTGCAGGTCATGGTGGTGTAACTGGGGGATTTTATGCTTGTGAAGTGCTTTCCATCCCTTGTTTCTTTGAACGGGATGACCTCCAGCCTTGATGGCCAGCCTGCCATGCAGTGCAGGAAGCAAAGTCCCGTCAATAACAACTCTGAAGTCACTTTTGCCAGGCAGGATGAATATGAGCTAGCCATGTTCGGCTAGCTCTTGGTGTTGATTTCCTACTCCAGCTGCATGCCTCACATTCCTCAATCCTCCAAAAGAGATGACCTCTAACCCCAGCTGGTTGTTCGTGTCAGTTGTGATGGAGGAGGCTAGATTTTCCTAAACGCATGTGAATTCTCAAATCCAAACAATCAAAAGGCCAATCGGCACAGATTTTATGGCTTTTCTGTGTCCAGAGGATTAGGACGGTCCTGCTTTCTGGATGCATCGACAGTTTCATGTTAACTTGTTGTGACCTTTTAGGTTCACCAGCATGACGTCTTTTCACCACACTGCTTACTGCTCACAGCCAAAATGCTGCTTCTGCTGAAACAGCTCAACTTAAAACTTACAGATTTAAAGGTCTAAGTATCTGATTCTGTTGAATTAAGCTGTCGAAGTTAGTTTTTATCTCTGTTCTAGTAACATTATTACTTGAATGTAAATAATTTCTGGATTTTATAAATGGTTCATTTGTTAGTGTAAATGTTGTCTTTACCAAGCAAAATGTTAGCTGGTTATGCACAATATCATCTTGATATTTTTGCCTGTTGCAATAAGCAATAAATCAGTTTATTACATAATAGAATAAAACAAATGCAATAATTTCCATTAGCATGATTTAGCGTTTTCCCTTTCTACCAAAAGCTGGATGATAAAATTCTTCAGTCTGGTGTTTTGATATCAACTCGCCATTTCTTTGAAGGTCAGTTTTGTTTAAAGAGACTTCATAATTCATTTTATTTGTTGTTTCTTTTGTTTTGTTTATTTGTTTTGGATATTTAAAATGTCTTCCAACTTTAAAACTTTAGTATTTAAAGTTTATTGATCTTTGAAGATTATGTCATTACCGTTATACTACTTGAAAATAGTCTCTAACCAACAACGTTATCGTTTATCGCAGTAACTGTTGGAGCAATTTATAGTCCAGCAAAATTAGTTGCGACATTCCTACTTAAAATTAATGTTCAAACTTGCAGGATTTGTCATCAAAGGAACTACCTTTTTAGAAAATGCATCTCAAGGTGTCTGCATCCTTAAAAAACTATTAAATTCCTGCATCTAAAAGTACGGCCTTAAAATGTCCTTAAGTTTGTTTTTTTTTTTAAATGTAAGTTGGCCTTAAATATGTTAGTCAGGTCTTAAATTTTGTTGTGGCATTTACTTTCCTACATTCGGTGTAATTTAATTTTCTTGCTGGATCTTTTCCGTCAGGTAAACGTTGGAGTCGCCTGCAGACATCTTTATGTTGTTCTGTAACTTGAGCTGATTGTGGCTGCTGCTAATTAGCCTCTAATCTACCCTTGCTAGCTAGTTAGCTAACTTTTTTGCATCTAGCAATATCATGTAAAATTTATTGCCAGTTGGCGACACAACAATGTTCATCTGTAATTTTCCTTCCTTGGACTGCAGGAATCGGGAAAACCCTTTTGATAATTTTGTTGAATGAAACTCTGAAATCTCTTCTTCAGAGTAAAAATGAAAGGAATTATGTGCTTCAAACAGGGGAGTGGCGATGGATTTTCTTTACTTTTATTATGTTTTTATACATAACGAAACCAACTGTAAAAAAAGAAACTGGCTTCACCAATGCTAGTTTGGGAAAACAGACATTGTTTGTAAAAGAAACAATGACATAAAAACATTGAGAAATAAGTAAAAAAGCAAAAATTAGCCATTTTTTAGAGCTAATTTGAGTGAGAAAGGATACATTAAATGACTGCATATCAGTTTATTTTAAGTTAATGAATTATGGGGATAAATGGTCATGAAAACACTGAAATATTTACTTGTACAGTACATGTTTAAAAACTTTGTATTACTTATAGCACCATTTTGTAAATGGAAATTTTGGTACAAAGGGACAAAATGACCAGCAACCAACAGGTAACGCCCAAGTTCTGCATTAAAAAGCTTCAGTATAATGTTAGCATGTGCTAACCCCTAACCCTAGCCCTTTGAAAAGCACTGGAGTAAAAGAATAAACATAACCCAACTTTGCTGTCATAATAAAGTCTGGGAAATGCCTGGGGTTAGGTGTGTAACCCCAGGTGAAGCGTGAATCTAAATGCTGGCTGGTTTTTGTTTTGCGATCCTCAGATCGAGCGAAGTTCTGGGAATTTTGTTTTCAGATGTTGTCAGGATGAACCCTTGTGAAAACCCACAGGAAACTGCTGACCGCATGTTTGTTTTTATATTTTCTTCTGTCTCTCAGTTAATAAAGCCAAACATCTAAAATGTCTTGTGAAGGGAAATCCAACATGAAGCGTTTCCTTCAACGCCGCTTTCTTACTACTGAAATCAGCAGATGGACTTCTTTGATGTCTCGACTTCTTTCACCGTTTCCTTTTTTTCTCATAAGGAGATTATTGTAGTCTGGTGAATGGGAAGGAGGGAGTTAGTGGGGGAATGGAAAATAACCACAATCCCAGTTCAGGGAGCAATGGCTTCGCTTATATCAATATTGATGGAAATTTAGCCTGCTTCCCTTGTCTGCAATGCTTCAGGGAATTTTACTGTAGCCCAGTAAGCTTACTTAGGCAATACCTTTGGGTGGGTAGGCTTGTGTGTTTTATGAACAAAGAACAACAATGACTGGCTGTGCAGCTCCACGAGGGAAGGGGCGCCTCATGTAGATGGTTTAGTCTGTGTGTGCTTTGTGTATGTGTGAAAGGCCTTTGCCTTGGCTCCTCTGGCAAGAAGTAAAACAAATGCACACATCTCTCACCTATGACTCCGTCCTCCAGCATTTGACGTCAAAACGAAGCAGCTTAATTGCAGTAATTACACACCTGAATGGTTTCATTTAGGCTAACGAACACGTTTCACTGCGGGCTCAGATAGTCCAGTGGTTACTTTGGATTTGCATGTTTTGTTGTGTCCTGTTTGGTCTTCCATTGCGTGCCTCTGCAGGATTGTTGTGTGGATGCAGGCAGTTTTGATGTGCATTGCAGTGTGGTGGCTTATGAGCTCTTTATGTGGGTGGTGTGTGCTTAACTGCTCTAGGTCACAGCAGATTGCTCCCATAACATGAGATACTCCTGCTCAGCCTTTGGCATTTCTCTCTGCTTTCAAGCTCCTTTCTTTCTCTCTCCCTTTCTCACTCATGTGGTTCAACAACATCTTTGAAAACAAGAAGGGATCAAGGTCAAATTCCTAAGTGCAAACACGAAAAACTGAAGTAACGTCACTCACACATGGACCAACTGAGAAATTGGTTTGCTTAAGTTGTTTGGGGTTGCATATAGATGGTATGTTAAGGAAAATGTTTCCGTCTTCACAGCGGAAAGATCCAAACTACAGGTGCGTAGCTCCAGTGCCATACGGAGAGCGTCTTCCTTGGACGCCATCACAGGACCTTATCTCACTGGCCAGTGGCCTCGGGACTCCCACGCACCGTACCCTTCCTGCATGAAAGACAAAGCCACACAGGTAGGTACCACTCAGACCACAGCAGAGTCCAGCTCAAACCAGGTGTTTACTGGGACTATCACAGACTATCACCACACTTTACCAAAATTATTTAGATAATACAAGGATTTTTATAACTTTCTACATTTGCATGCAATTCCGTCACTGCAAAAACACAAAATCTTGCCAAATATTTTTTTTTTTTTTTTAGTGTTAATGTCTTAATACACTTGAAATAAGACAAGCTAACTTAAAAGCAACTTTTCATGAAAATACAGAAGCTTGTTCTCAGTAAATATTGATGAAAAAATGATAGTTACACTGGCAGATAAATTAAGTCACAAGATGGGAAAAATGTCTTGTTATAAGTGAAATTCGTAAGTGTTGTGGCAGAGAGACGTTGGAGTAGGGGATAAGAGCTCATCGTCATTATGATTGATGGAAGTTTGAACGTCCTCCTCCTCTGGTGTTTGGGCTCACAGTACAGGTATTACTTTAGCTTTTAAGATGCTAACTAATTAGCTGCTCCCAACTGTAAAAATAAAACGACAAAAAAACTAAAGTGATCGCCTGTCCGACTACCTAAAGCATAATTGTCAAAAAATTTGGATGCAGTTTGTTGAGGATGATCCAAAAGTATTTTTGCGAAATTATTGGCTGACAACCAAAAAAAAATTCAGAATTTATTGATCTGCCAGAATTGATTAGTCTTTTTTTCTGGTGTTTGTTGCCATTGATCCTCCATATCCATGCATCAGTTTTACATTTACCCTGATCTCACTGTTGGTTGGCAGCCCACGCATGATTATCCAGTTTCAGAAAGAGTTTAATTTTTGAAGGACCGGGGCTTGTCGCGGGCTTGTTATGAAAGAATATTGAATATGTATGATTTGCAAGAGGGCAGCTCTCCCTATTGCTAACAGAAGCCTTTCATGTGACTGAATGAAGACCGCCAAGCCTAATTTACATGGGCTTCGTCTCTTTACCCCTCATTGCCTTGCGTTTCTTTGTTTGTTCTCTGAGGAAGTGGTAGGGGGGAGCTGGTGAGGTTTCTCGAAGTGGCTATGTGCAAAGTAAACACATCTAATTACAGGGTTCCTGTCTGGATCTGGAAAGTATGGAAAATCAGCTTGACAATTATCAAAGAGAGGGTAAAAATGCAGAGAAACATCTAGGCACGCCGTTATCTCATAGACTTCATGCTTTTTGGCACATGGTGATGTTGAGCCTGTCCTGTCCTGGTGAGATGAGCTCATAAGAGTCTGACTCAGAGCTGTGGATGATGGAAAACATTTGTTATGGCAGTAAAAATCGTAATGTGAGAAAATCCGTCGCACATCACAGTCCCAGAGCGATTCGTCGGAGCTCGAACCCACTTAAGGAATAGTCATAACCACTTCCTGTTTGCAAGTTCTGCCTGAGCCCATCTCTCTTTTTTTAAAAGATGACAGCAGAAAGCAGCAGACAAAAGGTCCCTGGTCTTTTTTGTTTTGCATTGCACCAGCTCAAGACGGCCTCTCCTTTGAGCTGTAATGCAGCTCTGCATGGAGGTGAAGTTGTTTGCACCTGTCCCCCAGGCGAGGCGAGGAGAATTCCCACTGCTTACCACCTGGCCCTCATGGCTGCCTGCCTTTTGTGTGGGAGTTGAGGAGCAGAGGGTCCATACATATGCTAATCACGCTTCCAGGATATGTCTGCAAGCCCTAGACCCTGCGGTTACAGAGCACAGAGAATCCGTATGAAGATTAAAGCTCTGACACACCAATTCACACACAAGAAAGGCAGACTGATCAAACAGTTTGTGTAGCCTGACATTTTACATTATTAGTTATATGTGAGCACAAACCACAGATCGTCAGTAGCTGCGTTTCCACTACAGATGTATGCAAGTCTTTGTCAAAAAAACACACTATTGCAATTGTGGTGGTCCATTAAATAAGGGTGCATTCACACCAGTTGTGTTCAGTCCGCTTTAATTGAACCCCAGTCCATTTGTCTGGAAAGTCCTGTTGGTTTGTGGAGTGAATGACCAAAAATGTCATGAAGGTTGAGATTAAGGCTGTTGTAAACGATTATTTTAGTAATCGAGTATTCTGTTGGTTATTCTGACGATTAATCAAGTAATCAAATATAAATTTGATCAAATGAAATATTGGTAAAGCCAAAGACTATACTCCAGTTTTTGGTTTATGTAATTCATCTTCAGTGAGTTTAACAGCTGAACTCTCACCTTGTCCAGCCATTTATAGGTTTTCTGTTCATGTTAGCGACGGGATTTCACACCTTCGCTTGCCACACACAGAAACTCATCTACCAGGTGTGTAACGCCACGATGCGCTCCGCCACATTCGTCCGTAACGTTACACTTACGTTAAGCATCAATGACAGAGGAGCAGCTTGCCGTGTTCAGTTTATCCCACTCGCCTGTATAAGTACACCCGCTGCGCTCTTCACCACCGTTCGCTCTGACCCGGCATCGCGGCAGTCAATTTAAGGATGTCTGTTGGTCCCTGAAAATGATAAAACCAGGACATTATCATAAATCAATAAAATCCTCCCAGACTGAACTTGAAAATTGGACGTTATGCCGCTAACACTTAGCTTTCGTCAACAACTCACAGGCAGAAATGAGAGCGCAGAGCAACAATAATAATGACAACATGGTGCTCTAAATAATAAAACATAATTTGATGAAGCTTCAAGGCAGATAATTTTTCTTGAGGAATCTTAATAATCGAGGTGCTGAAGTCATTCGAGGAATCGTTACGGCTCTAGTTGAGATGAGGATGAACACGGTCAGATCCAGGGTAAAGAGAGAAAATGTGTTTAATGATGTCCAAAAACCAGTTAACAGAGGCAACAGGTAAGAGAGTGACAAAGAAGGAGTAAAGGGTCCAGCGGTCAAGAGACGACACAGGTGAGACTAAACACACAAGGAATGATGAGGGAGCTGGAGATGGCTGGAAGCAGTCAAGGGCAAGACGCAACAACACGAGTCTAAGTGAACCAAAATACATACACAGAAACCAAAGTCCTCACAGAAAACCCAGAAAACGAACTCTGGTAAAAACGTTTCATTGCAATTAAAATGAACATTGGAACGCCAGGCGGACCGGAGACCGCTCCAAAAGCAGGAAGTGGACCATATTGTAGGGCATTCTGGGTAAATACAACCAAAACAAAAACTCGAGTCTAGACCTAGCGTGAAAAATGGCTTGTGGTCTTTTATCAAAGATGAGAGAAATCCTACAGCTGGATATTTAGAATATTTTCCAGTTCCTGTGTTAGATGTTCATTAGAAGTTTATCGTTTTTGAGAATACGTTATTATGCAATTATTACCATAATATTACCTCAAAATGGTTCAAAACAATATTATCATTTATTGCAATAATTACTGGGATAATTTATTGTCCAGCAAAATGACAGGCCTTCTCATTGCTGGTTATAACAAGTGCTTGATGTCAATTGTTGCTGCCAACGTTGACACAAATAATTATTAGGCTTAAAAGAATCATTACCGTTTTTTAAAGCTTTGTGCATTCAGGATTAGATTTGGTTTAATAATGTAAACCAAATGGTTACAGTGGAATATGCCTTAAAATCACCAATAATTTATCTACATAATCCTGTGAATGTCTGAAATCTAATTTCTGAAAGTGTGATTAAGGTCAAAATGTTTATTTTGAACAACAAGTTGTAGTATAATTGGTAATGAATCTAAAATCCTGGTTTTGGATGTGTTAGTAGTTTGGCATTTTCTCTCAAAAACGAATGTGTCTTTTAGACCAATGCACAAAACTACAGGTAATCAACTACTTTCCAGAAAGAAAAGTGAATTTAAAACATTCAGATAAACAATTTAGTGGCTAAACCAACATGTCACGCTTTCCTCAACCCTTTAAAAAACTCCCACTAAATGATAGCAGCAGGACGCTGCATGCATGTCTCGGCATGCAATCTAAACAAAACAGCCCAAATTCCACTGTGATTCAATTGAAGCCCAGTCATTATTTCCTGCTTTGGAGCTGAGCTGGATTCTTGAGGATGTTGTCGGCATGTAACCCTTTGGGTGGGAATCACAATAGGAAGTGAGCTGCAGGCTATGAGTTTTATCTGTGCAGCATTACATTATCAGGCACAACACCTGGCACGCTTCCCTGTTCACAAGGCACCAAGCTAAGGCTGCAGGTTCAACAGAGCGAATAAAAATGGCAGTCTGTGATAATCTGTTGGGAGTGGAAATGTAGTCAATAGAAAATTATCAAAACATTTTTTTTGTAATTTAGACTAAGAGTTTACTGTTGTTGTATAGCCGATAGATTTGGTTTAAAGAGAACCAATTTTTGACTTTTTTATTCTTCCATATGGTTTTCCACTGCTCCTAAAAAAATCATCCAGCCATCTTTTTGGCAATAAGTTGATGTTTTTTGGTGTCATTGTCACAGTTGACTAGCACTTTGCCGTTACCTAGCAACCACATCCAAGCTTCAGCACGTTAGGTCAGCTGGTTTTACCGCTGTATGCGCTGTACAATGGCTGCTGGAAAAGACAAGGGCTTTGTTGGCATCCAGAAACCACTTCCTGCATTATTGTTAGTTGTGCAGGAGGATCCACTTTTGCTTTTCAAAGAAGTACGGTTGTGTAATTGCACATCTGTTTGCAGCCATTTTTACGTGCGAGTGTAGAAGTTGAGTTGAGGGTGTGGCCAGCAGCAGATTATTTGGATTTAAAGGACGAGAGATCCTAAACTGTGATTTTAGTGTGCACAGCGGAGCACTATAAAATCACATTATCTAAGAATGACTTTAGATAATATAGTGAACATGTTGTATAGCTGATAGATTTGTACTATCCTGTTCCAGGAAGCATAACGGGTCACCTTGAAGCATATTGAATTGGGATTTAGACGCCATGCTTTACCACATGTGCCTGCTTGACTTCTTTTAGAACAAAGTCTATTAATTTAAATAAAAATGCAAACAATGGAACCAAAAGCCTCACAACATTCTCACTTCACTG